AGTGGTAGAGCGCTAACCTTGAGCTGAAGAGCTGAGGGACAGTGCCCAGGCTCAGAGTTCAGGCCCACGACCGGACCCAAAAAAAAACCCAAAAAACAAAAAAACTTGCCTATCTGAGCTGGCTTTGAACCATGATTCTCAAGTCAAGAATTTCAAAATAAGGGCTAACGGTATAGCTCAGTGGTAGAGCATTTGTCTAGCATATATTTCAACCCCGGGTTCAATCCTCATAACCAAAACAAACAAAAAATTTTTTTTCTGGGCACTAGTGGCTCACACCTGTAATCCTAGCTACTCAAGAGGCTAAGATCTGAGGATTGTGGTTCAAAGCCAGCCTGGGCCAGAAAGTCCAGTGAGGCTCTTATCTCCAATAAACCACCATAAAACCAGAAGTGGCCGTGTGGTTCAAGTGGTAGAGCGCTAGCCTTGAGCTGAAGAGCTAAAGAGCTGAGGGACAGTGCATAGGCCCAGAGATCAAGCCAAAAAAAAAAAAAAATCATTCTGGTTTGGGTCCAAGTATTTAGTTATCAGAGCTGCTTCTGCGCTAGGCTTAATGACCCAGAAGCAGAAAAAAGTGAACAGGAAGGCAAGAACAAGGAAGTCTGGGCCTAGGTTGCAGTGGTCCTCACCTCAAGATGTCCACTGTGCACTGCATGGTGCAGCGCACTGCGCCCACTCCTGTCGGCCACATTGAGGCTGCTCAACAAGGGTGCCAGAGCCTCAGCACACTTGGTAGCCCGGTTGGCAGCAGCCACATGCAGTGGTGTCTGCCACAGCTTGTCCCGGGCATTCACATCAGCTGAATGAGCCAGCAGCAGCCCCAGCACCTTCTGTGGATGGGCAGGGACAAGAGAGAAGACAGAGGAGAAACAGGAGGTAAAACAAGAAGAGGCAGGAGGAGGAATGGGTCATAATGTCAAATATGGCCCCAACCTCCTGGTACAATCTCTACATTTTCCTAACATACCTAGCCTTTCCATACCTACTTCTCATCTTCTGGATCACCTTAGACCTTAAAACCTTTATTTTCTTGAGGAAAACAGACACCTCGTCCTCTTCCTCAAGCCAACAGGTATCACTCTCTAACCCTTAAAATATCTATACTCACAAATACATCCACCCCAAGTAGCTCCACAAATCCCAATCCTACTTTCAAGAAAAAAGAAATATTCCTGCTAAGTTAACAGCCCAAGTTATCTTCCTTAGCCTGCCCACAGGCACCAAAACCATTTCCATTAGCCCCATAAGCAAATACATACAAGTTCCTCTCCAAAACTCAGACTAAAATGTCCTTCCTAACCATTCCTTTTGGTCTCTACCCCGCCCCCTGGTAGCTGGAGTCAAAGAAGTGATCGACTAGAAGAGGAAGTCACATCTTCCCTCTCTGTGGTTGCTGACACTAGGATACAAGACCCCACTGATGAGATATGTTCAGCTCTTGTGCAGTCAATCTTCATGGTGCATGATAGGTCAGGATGCAACAGATCGCTACTCCTATTCCTCATCATAAGGAAAGAAATCTCAGTGCCCAGAGGGGTATCAGACTCAAGGTGGCCCCCCAGGGAGGGATGAGTCACTCAGGCCTGGCAGCAGAGCCCCCGCAGTCTGCCAGCCCAGTGTTAAGCTCTCCCTGACGTCACATCAGCTGGCAGCATTCAGCCCCCCATACCAGCCAGTTCTAGGGATAGGAGGGAGGAGCCTAGGTCTGGTCTCCACCCTATCTGGAGTAGAACAGTCTGTAGGGCAGAGAATCGAGTTTTTCTAACCCCTAAGTCCCACTTTCATCAACTCCTCCTTTATGGAAGGGTGAAAGGAAGTGGAAGGTTCATACCTCATTTCGAGAGGCAGCAGCACGATGAAGAGGGGTCAGCCACAGTGTGTCCTTAGCATTTACATTAGCACCTGTGGGGATATACAATCCTATTTTGATGGGAGGTGAAGAGGAGGAAGGAAGGAAACTAGTAATCAGGTAGGACCTGAATGTGCATGGAGTAGAACCCCTTTGCCTGGTCCAAACACCAGAATTCCCTTGGAAATGAACAAGGAGCGCTCTCCTCTCTGCTCCTCTCTAGGTGCCACACCTTCCTGATCCCCACTTTCACCTGACATCAGTAGCAACTGGAGGATGGGGACATCGCCTACGTAGGCAGCAGCATGCAATGGGGTTCGTCTCTCTTGGTCCTGGAAATACAGAAGAAAAGGGGAGCAGTTGTGGGGAGAAATTATCCCGAGTCTCAGCTCAAGTCTGAGAGCTCCTGGTTCTGCCTCACAATCTTTTCCCATAGATTCTGCAGCGTCCTAAATCCCAGTGTTGAGAAGGAAAGACCAGCACCTTGGAGGGTGGAGTCGGGGCCACCGGCCACCTTCTCCTTCTTCCAGGAGGGGTGGGGGCGCTGCAGACCCCGATGGTTCGGTAGAGAACACTGTTTCTGAGCATCCCCAGCCCCGCCACTCAGTGCTCCAAGCCTGACCAGCGCCAAACGCTGAGCAGGCTCCCACCGAGGTAAGGAAGAGCAGAGTCTCCCGTGCCATCGGAGCACGGGAGACCCGGAGCCGCCCCACTGGTGGGGAGGGGTCCCGAATCCCGGAGCCCGGATTCTGGGCTCGCCATCCTCCTCCCAGCTCCCAACTCACCAGCACATTGATGTTCTCCTTCTGCGAGAGGAGGGAACGCACTTCCTCCACATCTCGGCTAAAGATGGCCTGGACCAGGGGCGGCTGCAGGGAGAACCGGCAATCAGCGAGCGGGCCGGAGCCACAGCCGCACCAGGGGTGGGGGGTGGGGGAAGCACCCAGGTTAAAGGGGGGCGTCGCTGGAGGGGCTCCGCTTTGGGGGTTCCAGGCTGCAGCGGATTCCCGCGGCGCCTCCGCCGGACGCCAGGCGCCCCCCCCTCCCCGCTCCCCGCCACCAAGGACAACCCGATCCGCTGAGGGGAGCGCGGCGTGGGGCGGGGCGGGAGCCCCGGGCTCGGGCCCAACCTAGGCCTCACATCCCCGAGCTCGCGTGGCGGTGGCGCCGGGCCGTGGAAAGAGGAAGCCGGGAAGGGCAGGAGGGCTGACCTGGTCCGTGATGCTGAGGATCCCCATGGCCCGGCCCGGGCTCCGTCCGCATCGAGCTCGCGGCGGCGGCGGCGGCGGCTCCACC